CCCACCCTGGGGGAAGACGGGAAATAGCTGCTACAGCAAAAGCTCACCAGGAATGACCTTGACGCAGCTGTAAGAGGTCTGACCCCAAATAAATCCCCAGGGTTAGACGGGCTAACAGGGGAGTTTTACGCTGTTTTTTGGCCATCCCTACGGGAGGACTACAGAGAGGTGCTGGAGGAAGCCTCTGTCACCGGGGTGATGCCTCAGTCTTGCAGGAGTGCGGTGCTCACTCTGCTTCCCAAGAACGGAGACCTGAGGCACCTACAAAACTGGCGTCCGGTGTCCCTCCTGAACACCGACTACAAAATATTGACGAAGGCTCACTCCCTGCGACTGAAAGGGGTGATTGCACAAGTCGTAAACAGGGACCAGTCCTACACCATCCCCGGACGAACCATCCATGACGGCATCTTCCTGGTCAGGGACCTCATCGCGGTGTCCCAGAGGTTGGGCATCCCATTCGCGTTTCTGGCCCTTGACCAGGAAAAGGCTTTTGACAGAATGGACCACAAATACCTGCTGGGAACCCTCAAGACCTTTGATTTTGGGGATGGCTTTGTCCGAACGATCCGCCTACTCTACACCAAGTCAGAGTGCATGATCAAAGTCAACGGCGCCCTCACTGCCCCGGTCTAATTCGAGCGAGGAGTGAGACAGGGATGCCCATTGTCGGGCCAACTTTATGCCCTGGCTTTAGAGCCTTTCCTGAGTCTCATAAGGCGGAGACTCAGCGGCCTGGTGCTCAGGGAACCAAGTGTCAAGTTGGTCCTGACGGCATACGCCGACGACATCCTCCTCATCATTCGTTCCCTGGATGATGTCGCCCTGCTGCACGAGTGCCAGGAGGTCTTTTCGAAGGCCTCCTCATCCAAAAGTGCAGCGGCCTGCTGGTTGGAGCGTGGGACATGACCGAGTGTCCGGAGAAGGCAAAAACCATCAATTGGAGCACAACATCGCTGCTGCACCACCTGGGGGTGTTCCTCGGACCAGAGGAGGAACCACCGCAAAGGGACTGGGTCGAGCCGGAGTAGAAGGTGAAGGAGCGGCTTGGCACCTAGAGTCGCCTGTGCAAGTTCCTCACCTTCAGGACAAAGACGTTGGTGGTGAACCAGCTGGTGACGTCCATGCTGTGGCACCGACTCTTCTCCCTGCACTCCCCCATGAGCCTCGTCAACGCGCTTCAGAAGCGAGTCCTCGACTTCTTCTGGTCAGGCGGAGGACACCGGGTCGCGGCTGGGGTCCTGGCCCTGCCACTGGACGAGGGCGGTCACGGGCTGGTGTGCGTGCGGAGTCAGCTGGCCACCTTCCGACCGCAGGCCGCGCAAAAGTTCCTGCACGCCGCCCCTGCACCGGCCTGGAGCGTCACGTCCTTCTTCCTCCTGAAACAGCTGGGGGGTCTGCAGTGCTCCAAACAACTATTCTACATGGACCTGCAGGGCCTCCCACTGGGGCAGCTGCCACCTTTCTACAGGAGCGTCCTGCAGACATGGAGCTCCCTCGCCATCAGGAGGCTGAACCAGCCGCGATCGGCCGAAGATCTGGTCTTCGAACCGATCCTCAGGAACCCACAGACAAAGCTGCCATCCACCACCGCCACCCCCGGCATGGAGAGGCGCCTCACCAATGCGCGGCTTACGAGGATGGGAGATCTGGTGGAGCCTGGAACACGGGGCCGGTGGCTCGGACCAGCAGACATGGCCGCAAAGACAGGGCTGCAGTCGCTCCGGGTGGCTGCCCGGATCCTGGCCGAAGCCAAGGGAGCCTTCTCAGCGGCAGCGGGGAGAACGCCCCCCATCGGCGTTGGGGATGACGAGGCCCCTCTCGGTCCCCCTCCACCGGAGCTCTCCGTCGTGCCGCTGCATCGCCAATGCCGACAAGTGAAGGCGGATCACAACCTGTGCCGGCTGGAAAACCTACCGGAGGTGGCCTTCGCAAATGTAAAGAGGAAGGTGCTCTACTCCTACATAGTCTGGTTTCACCAACAGGACATCCTGAGGAGCCACAAGGACCATGCCTGGAGGAAAGCCCTGCCCTGCATCTCTCCGGAGAGGCCTCGCTGGGGGCAACTCCACTCCAGCCCGACGTACAACCGCATCGGTGACCTCAGCTGCAGCATCGCCCACGGCACCGTCACCACCAACGCCTCCCTGGCGCGCTTCACTGACAGGTCCCGGAGTGCCGGTTCTGCGGTAAAGTGGAGACGGTGGCGCACCAATACGTGAAGTGCAAGAGCCTGGACTTGTTGTTCAAGGTCCTGAGAAACATACTCCTAAATTTCAGCCTCCACTTCTCCCCGACGGTCCTCATCTTTGGATACCAAAAGGGCGACGGACCCCAACACCTTCAGGGGCTGGTCAACGTGCTCGTCGGCTACGCCAAGCTCGCCATATACAGGGCGAGGAAGGTGGCCCTGGAGGGGAAACGTCCGGCCAGCAGCCTGGGCATCTTCCGCGCTCTGGTCGGAACCAGGGTGTGGCTGGAGTTCCGCCATGCGCGGCTGACCCACGCCGTGCCGGCCTTCAAGGAGCAGTGGGCGATGGAGGAGGCCGTGTGCTCGGTGGCAGATGACGGGGAGCTCTGCGTGCAGATATGAGCTACCCGTCGGAGGCCGTCGGACTGCGAGAAGGGCTGCGTGCAGAACGAGAGAGTGAGAGAGTGAGCGAGAGAGTGAGCGAGAGAGTGAGCGAGAGGGGGAAGAGTTACATAAAGCAAAGTTATCAAAAAAAAAATTACGAAATGATGAACGAAGCAAAGTGCCGACTACACCGAGCATCTTCTTGTTTCCACTGATCGTAAAATAAAAAAGGAGAGAGAGAGCGACACACAGAGTGCATTAGAGAGAGGGGAGAGAGAGCGACACACAGAGTACATTAGAGAGGAGAGAGAGTGACAAAGACAAAGATCCCCCGTATAGCCTTAACAGACTGTAGGGGCAAGTGCTGTTAGCGAGCACCTATGAAAGCCGGAACGGTACACGAGGGGGTGGGTGGCCAGCACCACGCCCGACAGCCTTTGTCTCCCCAGTGGCGATGTTTACACACCGCACCAGGTACTCATTTGAGGCCGAGTCGACCTAGGGGAGGCCCAGGACCGGTTCAGATAATCGCCACTGGTGTTGACCGCGAGCGGGAATCGAACTCGGGTCGCCGGGTTCGCAGCGCAGCGTAGCGCTAACCGCGACACCGCCGCTCCCCAGAGAGTGACACACACACACGTACAGAGCACATTAGAAAGGGGAGAGAGCACCACACAGAGTACATGAGAGGGGAGAGAGCGAGAGGGGAGGTGGAGGAGGGCACGCCGCCACCACCACCACCACCACCGACATCGCGCATGACCACTCCATGCGAGCGAGCATCGCACAACAATGGGGGGGGAAAGCTTTTAGCCGCTTCTCCGGCCCGAAAGAAGCGCGCCAAGTGAGGAGGCACATGAGAAAGAGAGAGCACCTTCTGAGGATCGGGGCGGTGGTGGGGGGGGGAGAGAAAGGGGGGGTATGCGGGAGCGCCAGGAGGGAAGTACGGTAGGGAATGGGGGGGGGGTGTTCGGGTTTGGATGTTTTGCGGGTGGGAGAGGGGAGTGGGGGGGGGCGGCGGCAAGCCTGGATAAAGCAAGAAAGGTCGAGCGAGTGAATAGCGCAACCTCGCAGTGAATCAACAACGAGATCATAAAAGCCAACGCAAAAAAAGCATAAAAGACACAATGTGTATAAATTATATAAATGTGCGTGCGCGTGTGGTCGCACGCGTGTGTGTGTATGTGCGCGAGTGTGTGCGTGCGCGCGTGTGTGTGCGCGCGAGTGCGAATGTTTTCAAAGCCCGCAGAGACGGGGGGGACACAAAGCAACCGCCATGCAACTCGAGGGCTTTAGAGCACGGGAGGGACTTCTGTTGCTGCGCGCGATAATGCATCACCGCCAGGAGCTCCCTCGTGCCAGTGCCACGGCGGTCACCGGGGCTCAGATTCAACGGCGCGAGGTGCTCGCCCTGGCCGCTGGCGTGCGCACGCAGGGGCGTCTTCTTCGCCGATCCGCTGCAGGGCGAGTGCTTCCCCCCCCTGCGCGGCACGCGCAACGCGGACGCAGGAGCGCAGAAGTACGGCACAACTAAGGGGTTTCGCTGCCCTGGCCTCCACCGCGTCAGAGCCGGGACACGCTGTAGCCTACGAGGGTGGCCTGGCGGGCGTGGTGGTCGCACGTCCAAGCACTGTCTGAGCTCTCCTGCCCGCTTAACTTACCGGATGGGGCGAGATCGGGCACGTTCCCGGGTCAAGCTGAGTCTCGTGTATTATTTTGTTGAACCAGGTGAGAGCTCAAGAGGCCGGGTCGGGGGTCACTTGCCATGGTGCCCTGGGCGATTTGGTCACTTCTCAAATCCACGCCGTGGGCGTCTCTAGGATGTGAGCGGCCACGTCAGAACGAGGAACATTTGCCCTCAAATATACGGAGCCAGAGGCAGGCGTTTTTGGAAAGAGGCCCTCAAAACGAAGTTCCCTAAAAACAGCAAACAATTGGGAACACGGCCCTCCGAGGTGTTGTTCGGCAGAATGTCAGACGTTTTAACTCATGCACAGACACCCAGACACACACAACAACAACAACAACCGCCATTCGCCACTAAGTGGCGGCGACGTCACCACAGCACGTTAAGGCCACGTGAAGTGTCGAACATCCGCTGGAAGGTCACGGGACAGACCCAGGTGCCATGGGTCGACTGAGACGTTGACCGATGCACCACCTGTGCCCCCCCCTACTGTGCCAACTTGCTCTGTTTTAGCTGCCCGGCGCTCAGCTCGTTGTTGTGAGTGTCGCTCCTCTGCCCTTCGTTGTTGCTGGAGGGCGACTGCCTACAACTGCCCAGTAGCGTCCTTCACGAGCCTCCTCCATGGAGGCCAATCTTGACACCGCTGGTACGACAAGTCCACACACACCCACACACCGACACTCACCCCCACCCCCCCACTCCACAAACACACACAGACAGCAGCGTAACTCAACGCACGTTTTGCAGCTCGGTGGACGTCAGCACCACTTGTGCGTCCTTGGGCGCCACCTCTTCACTCTCCGGCAGTGCTCCTCCACCTTCTTCGCTTCCACCTCCTCCTCCACCTCCTCCACTTTCTCCGCCTCCTCCAGTGCCTCCAGCGCCACCGTCTTCGGCACCGCGCCCTCCGTGCTCGTCGGCAAGCGTCTCCGCTGGCACCGTCGTCTGGCTGGCGGCCGGCGGGTCGCCGGGACGCGGCGGCTCATCGCGCTCCTCTTTCTGATGAGGACCACGAGAAGACGGGGGGGGTCACGAAAACGAAGACGGAACAGCATCGCCCGTTTGAATTTCGCCGGTTATGGGCACGCAGCGCAGCCTGCGACAATCAGGCGCGTAAGTACAGCCCGGCTATCCGACTGGGTCCATTGGCCACCCTGGCAAGGATACACGTATTGATAATAATGATCGTGTGGAAGACGGTATGCACCGTCCGCTTAGGCGCGAGAGATCCCGTCCGCAGGTGCCCTTAATCCCACAAGGGGAAATCACAGTGTAAAGGATAAAAAGGTTTTGCAGTCACCAACGAATACACTGCACTATTTTTATGTTAGCAGGTAAGGGATGTAGTTCTTTTTCAGAAGCGACCTGACCACAAACGATAGCTCAACAAAGTGGCTCGTCGCGTGGATTTTTTTTTTTTAAGCAGCCAAATACTCGAAACGCACGTTTCTAAATGTGGAGGGGAAAACCGGAGGACCCGGATAAAAATCAACGTGACCACGAGGAGAGAGACACGCAAACTCCAAATATACAGGACGTCAGGGTCGGGATCGAAACCACAGTTAGTCAGTCCATCAGCAGGTCGGTTGTGGTGGGGTAAAGTGTGGGCATTCCCACCTCTGCCAAGGTGCCTGGGCGAGCACGAAAGAGAAGGCCAATTACCATCTGGAGGGGCTCTCTAGCACTCCATGCAAGAGAAGCACTTCCGCCTGCAGTGCCGTGAGCGCGCAAATCGCGGGGCTGTGCCTTTACCTTTTTCTTTTACACAGCAGAGGGGAACATTGAAACACGATTCGCCAACACATACTCATTTGACTCGACTGTACTCGGAGAGAGAGGCGGGAGAGAGTCCCAGTCGGTAGAAGTGTGCGCGGGGGGGAATGAAACGCTACGGAACGAGGAAACCCAGCGCCGCACGACGAAGAAACCGGCTACTTCGCGATGAGCGCGGGTCGCCTCGGACACAAACAAACCGCCCAGGGGAAAGAGATGGCGAGCGAGAGAGCAAGAGCGAGAGCGAGCGAGCGAGTAAGCGAGAGAGAAAGGCCAAGACGGCGCCATTAGTGCCCGCGTCCACCTCGCGCGCTAAACGCGTAATTGTCCGCGAGCCGAGGCCACAAGTGAGTCTCTCCCTCTCTCTCTCTCTCCCCGGTGAGTAAATTAACGGAGGGCGCCATTCAGCGATTCCACTCTGTAATGGACGGGGAGTGCGTAAACGAGCGGCCTGTTTGGCGGAAGGAAGAACAAATGGACAAAACTAAATGGTGACATTTCCTATATTACGTTCCCCGTACCGTCTCTCTCCCGCTTTATGGCTTTCTTTTGAGATTTTGGAGAAAAGATTAGGGGTAGGAGTGGTAAGGAGAGAGGGAGGGGGGGGGGTAGAAAATAAAAATGCCAAACAAAGCGACACGCAAGCGAGCGCGCGCAAAACAGTGTGTCAAAATGTGTCAAACACGCGGCAGCATAATGAGCCTAATGCACGCGGACGCCGGAGAAAGGAGTAATCGTCCGCTGAAAAGACTGCGCGTTAATTAGCACTAATTAATACCACTAACGGCGCAAAGTGGGTACCAAATTGCCTTGCTTCTCGAAGCACCCATTATGGTGGAAAAACACACACACACACCCCACGTGTGAGATAGATAAATAAATAAATACACAAGCAGCGGGGGGGGAGAACAAAAACGCGTAAATAAAAGTGTGCCCGTTAATTTGCAGAACGCGCGGACCGGCGCCGCTACCGCCGCACTGCAACACTCGGCGTGATTAAACACGGGGGGGGGGGGCGGCGGGGGGGGTGGTGCGAGAGTGGCCGCGAGGTTGGAGCACCGGAGCCGGCACCACACAGCCACCCGTGGTTAGACCGGGTTCTCAAATGTGTGCCGAGTTGATAGTCTCAACCCCCTGCCACCTCCCTCCCCACGCCGGCCACCGATGTCCTCGCAGCAAAAAAAAACAACTAAAAATTACCAATCTAGATTTGGAGTTTCCGTGACTGCAGGAATCCATACTCTTTGGTTCTTTCGGTAAAGTCACGTAGGTATAAAATAAAACAAATCACGACGCTTCGGGCGCAACACAAGCGTCATCAGGTTGAAACAACCACAGCAATCAACAATTGCTGAAGTGAGCAAAAAGGAGGCTGCTTGTGACACGGACGCCCGAAACGTCGCGATTTAATTTATTTTGTACCTACGTGACGTTACCGAAAGAACCAAAGAGTAGAAAAAATTCCCACCCAGTCAAATCTGGCCTTGCACTTTGTTTGGGATAATTCCAGTTGTGAGGATCGGTTGGAGTGGCACGAAGAATATGACTCTCTGTAGCATCGTGGGTGGAAGAGTGTGGCCCGCCATTCTTTGTGGAGCTCAGTCGATGGCAGAGCGTCTATTTTGGGAAAGCCTTTGATCAATTTGGAAAGTTAAAAAAATTCCATAATAGCAACACAACTTTATAGTGAAGTATTAATGAGATTTAGATCATCTTTAAAAAAAATTGAACATGATCCTCCCCCCCACGACAGAGCTCACTTTACATTTTAGTTGGAAAGGGTTAAACACACACACACACACCTCTTCACTGATGATCGCTGGTCCCACATCACTGCCCTGATTCTCGAGTGCTGATGCAATGATTCTGGACACTTTCACATCCTCGCCACCAACACCGCCGCCACCGCCACCACCACCGCCGCCGCCGCCGCCACCACCAACACCGCATACGTTAGCCGCTCTCTCCCGCCGCGCCTTCATGTCCGCTTGCGCCTACGACAAACGAGGAGGACGTCTCATATTGGACATACAAGACATGCTCCTTCTCGTGCGTTGTGATTTAACATTAGTGCAACTCGGCACTGACAAGTATGTAGGTGTGTACCACGAGTTCATCTATAGCAGGGGTGGGGAACGTTCGGCCCGCGAAATCATTTGGGTCTGGCCCTGCCAAGGCAACCGCAGGCGGGACTCGAAATTCAATAAATCTAGGAGCAAACCTGGAAAAGCAGTTGCGAGTAGCAGCAGCAACATCATCAATACCAGCTAACATCACACGCCTCGTTAAAGAGAAGCAGTTCCAGCCATCACATTATGGGTGAGTAAATTAAATGTTTGACCAAATATAACAGGATAATTATTAAGTTGACGATTTTGTATGGCCCTCGAATTATGTCATCCAAATGGCTCTTGGCAGAAAAAAGGTTCCCCACCCCTGATCTATAGGGACCCTCCAAGAAAACACAGGCTTCTAGAGCCCAAAGATCGCCCAATTCCACAGGCAAAGGGTCATGGGAGTCTGTTAAAAGCAGACGAGACAAAGGTAACCCGGTGGAACAACGGTCAAAGTGTTGACCTGGCAACACCGCCTGTGATTTCAATTTGATTCTCAAGGGTAGTGGAGTTGGTGATCTTAGCCCAGTCACCAATGATTTACATGAGAGGGCCACTGACTTACACAAGAGTTGTGGTTCAATTGGGTTCTCAAGTGTGCCGTGTTAATGTTCTCGGGCTGGTTGATAATGATTGCGCACACAAAAAATAAATCCCATCACATTGCGTTATGCACTAAATTGTGATGAATTCCACTTCTAAAATTACAAATATCAGTTTGACCGTCACACGGCGAGCGTTTCTCTCCGCAGCCGGGCAGGGGCTGGCCCCCCGCCGTGCGGACCACTTAAAGGGGTTTCCTAAATAGCTTTGGGATATCCGCATCCGTGAGCCGCTCGCTGACACTGTGCGAATGCGCTGCTCTGCGAGACTTTCGAACGGATTCTCCGCCTCGCGACGAGAAGCCGACGGCACCACCGGAGCAACCGAATGGAGACAAAAAGTCCAAAATAGACAGGGCCTCACGGTAGCCTTGGCTCCTCCGGCGCCGCCACCGCCGACACAGCCGGCGTTGGGCCTCGCACTCCTCGGCGCCAAGTCGCGGTTCTCCTTGTTGCCGACGTCTCTGCGTGACGACGCCGACGCGTTGGCCTTGCCCGCGGCGCCGCCGGGCTGTCCGCCGGCCGGCGGCGGCGCGTTTGTCGTTGGCACTGACGCAGCGCCGCCACCGGCGCCGGCGCCGCCGTTTGCGGAGGCGTTTCCGGAAGCTGCCTTGGCAAGCGCCGTAGCCGAGCGGGACTTGGAAGGGCGGCCCCTCTGCACCATCTCCCAGCCGTCGCCGTCTGCCGCAGACGCGCCTGCGGCGGTAGAAAAATAACCACCACATCATCGTCACATGGATAAAGAATATGGTAACGACTGACCACTGATTCACGATGGTAATGATGACGAAGAGTATAATCATGCTGCTGATGATGAATATGACGTTATCATCATCAGCCATAATCTATCTACTGCTGGATGAAGGCCACCCCCAAGCTGTCGTCATCTCTCTCCGTCCAGCGGGGCAACGATCCATTTAGGTCCCAACACACGTGCCGAAACCATTGTCCGCTCTCTGGGGGCAAGTCCTTTGGCAGCCACTCCATCGTTAGTCTCGACCACCGGTCATCGTCCCTTCTGACCTTGACGCGGATCTGTCCAGGCCCACGTTACATAGTCCAGCGGATGTCGCTCTATAGCTTCATCGCTCATGTGTACAAGCTCCCCCTAGTCTTCACTGGCTCCCTTTCGCCATGCAGAACAAATTATAAAATCGCCTGCCTTTGTCATCACGCCTTCACCACCGGTTCCCCACCGTACCGCGCCTCGCTACTCTCGCCTTGCACTGAAGCTCATGCTTCGGTCACAAAGGTTACAGCCTCACGCCACTCTACACTACACTACTATACACTACACTACTATACACTACTATACACTACACTACTATACACTACACTACTATACACTACACTACTATACACTACACGACTATACACTACACGACTATACACTACACTACTATACACTACACTACTATACACTACACTACTATACACTACACTACTATACACTACACTACTATACACTACACGACTATCACTACACGATACACTACACTACTATACACTACACTACTATACACTACACTGTTACAGCCTCACATCGGTTCTCTGCTATCGCCCCCTCGGTGTGGAACTCGATCCCTTTGCACATCCGCAACATCAAATGCACTTTGACTTTCAAGGAACATACCAAGGCCTCTCTAGATGTGTTGGGTCAGGGCTTTCGAGCAGACCCTGAGCTTGGCTCCGCGCCTCTGAGTTGTTGACTTGTCTGCAAAATCTGGCCGCGTTATAAACGTCATCGTCATTATTACTAATCAATGTCGGCTGGCCTACATCTGAAGGGCAGCAGCCGGCCAAACGCTACGTGATCGACAGGTCACATGACCTGTCCCTTTCAGGAAACGAATGCAGCACGTGGAGCGGAACGTCGGACATCACGTCGAGCAAAATACGCGGGACGACCCGAACGCTTGTGCACAGCCGTGAAACCTTACCACAGCTGCACTCAGGATTGTGGAAGTGTGGGCCTGGCTACCACTGCGTAAAATAATGTCGTTACATGCTGGCGTTGAACTTGGCTTGGTCGTGACAGCTGGCGCAACGTTTATTATCTTCTATATGTATAAAAGGGAAATTCGTGAATACGTGTGTCTGTTCGAAATGTTTAGCGTACTTCCCGACATGCAACAAACTTTACATTTGGCATGTGGGTAGCTTCCAGATTGTACACAATGCAAAAAGTATAAGAATAGACTTTTGTATTTGGTGGGGGGGGGGGGCGCAATTATGGATATATTTTGCACGGCAAGTGAGCGGTGACGTCACATCTGTGATGTCACCCGCATGCGGCAGCGTCACGCAGTATGCCTGCTGACGTACATGCACCCCCCCCCCCAAACCCTCCGACGTAGGCCGTGTATTAATCCAAGACAAGAATCCCCGAGTCTCGGGCGAAGCCGGGTAGTAAAGCTAGTATTGAAATTAAAAAAGTGGCTGCCGACTGCTGCTGGTCTGCAAAAGTCAACTCGTACGATTCGTTCCACTTTGTAATTTAGTGAGCGCTTTGAAATTTACGTTTGCTTGAGACTGGCAGGCTTCCACGAAAGCTTGCGCACTTGTCAATCGTCACGCTTATAAGTTAACGGAAGGCTTACGCAAGATGAGGTGAGTATTAACCCAACGAGCCTCAACCCACGAAAAACACTCTGGAAGCTTTTGCAATTAAACAAAAATTACATCGGCACCCAAACTAATAATACAGCATCATCCCCATTCCAATTTTACAGCTCGCAAATTATGTTTGCTATAAATTTCTCATCTAAAAGGGTCCACTTAAGATTACTTCCTTAAATCACGTGTACTTAAGTCATAAAAAAAATGTTGAATTATACCACGCGCAGTTAAAGTGTACAATGCCTCGACCTTTTTTTGTTGACAATGCGGCGAACATTAATGTGACATTGTTTTTCAAACAAGACGAGAGACGATCGAATCAGACGGCACGGTAAAGCATTAAATGTCGGGCCCTTTGTCAATTCGACTGCTGGCAAGAGGGCCTCCCCCACGGCGCCGCGGCAGCCACGGAGGAGTGTTCCGGCAAAACTTCACCAAGCCGATTGGTTTCGCGCGCCACCGATGTTAGCCGCATCTCGGGAATTCGAAGTGGAGACCTCGCTCCGAGCACAGCCTGCGGACCACCGCAACCGTCGCTGTCATCTGTCTCAGGTCAGTTTAGGTCAATGTTCAAATTCTCAATGCTTTCATTTTTTCGGATAATATCCCTGAAAGCACTTTTGACGAACTAAGTTCTTGGGAAGTTACAAAACGCATTTCGGGAAAGATTTGACATTCATGTCTTTGACCGGAGCAAAGGCGAGTCCCATTACTACGCATCGTCGCCAGAGTCGGCAAAGAGCGCAATCATCGCACGTGCTTCTCGCCATACTTCTCCACGTGAGTTTAAATCAATCTTAGAAACGGGTTGTGACCTATCCGACTAAAACTCACACTGCGATGGAACGGGCATGCTCATTCAAAACAAACAAAAAATGTTACTCGCGTAACTCAATCAAATTAACTTTGTCACTCAAAACATAGCATAACGGAACACGTTACCAGATAAAGCAGGATTGGCGGGTGTACATACAATTTTACGCCTTCCCCTGGCTCGTCCTGTACTTTCAAATACTTGTTCTAACTTCCAAGCTATGATGGCTGTCTCACTCTATCCCCGGATCTGCTCCAGGTGCATACAAACTGAGGATTGTGGGTAACGGGCTGCTTGGATTAAGGAGGCAGGCTCAAAACTCCCTCCCCGCACCACACGTCCCGTGCACGCAGTTGCGAACAACCGCCGGTGGACGGGCGGCAGGGGCTCGAACCTCGGTACAATGAGCGTCACGGGAAGGCCACCAATGGCAATCGGACACTTTGGATCCAGAGTTGCTGGAGCAGAAATACGAGTGATAATGCACCCGGCAGGTTAGGCCAATTTTAAGACGATAATTGAAGGCCGAACCGTGTAGAAGTGAGATGGAATGAGTACCGCGCGGTGGCACAAATGAGACAACAAAGAATAAATGCATAAATTGACTCGCTGTCTGTCGATGGCCACTTAGCATTCTGGGCCTTTGGGCCTATTCCCTTCTGACAATTAAATTCATAGAAACAGGTCGAGGAAAGTGGTCATTCGTTACATAGACGTGAGTGACTTTTTAATTATTATGACAACATTTAACCATGAAAATATTTTGGCAAGGATCACCTCATTTGCAAAGGTGTCAATTGATGCTCGCAGAGCACACCACATCATGACACACGTACAAACTCACACTGCATTTAGACAATCTATTGGACTTACTCTCCTGCGGCTGCTGGGTCCGCTCCGGCCCGCCGGCTTTAGGGTCCGTGCCGGGTTTAGGCGCCTGCGCCGCGCCCGGTTGACTGGCTCGAACTTTGTCCGCCCAGCTCGACCCCACGGAGCTGCGGCAACGGGACGGAGAGAGATGGGATGGAGAACAGGTCAGAGAAACGGGACGGAGAGATGGGATGGTGAACAGGTCGGAGAAACGGGACGGAGAGAAGGGACGGGAAGAGACGTGACGGAGAGGCGGGTCGGACGGACGGGACAAAGAAACGGAACGGAGAGACGGGATGGTGAACAGGTCGGAGAAACGAGACGGAGAGACGGGAACCGGGGGAGACGGGAAGAAGAGAGACGGAACAGAGAGATGGGACGAAGGAACGGAACGGAAAGACAGAATGGAGAACAGGTCAGAAATACGGGATGGACAGATGGGACGGAGAAAGATGGAACAGAGAGAGGGGATGGAGAGATACGCGATGCAGAGCAGATGGAGAGACGGGGCAGAGAGAGACGGGACGGACAGACGGGACAGAGAGAGACGGGACGGAGAGACGTGACGGACAGACGGGACGGACAGACAGGACAGCGTCGTTCGCTGTGAGAGCATTATTTTGGCTGCTGCAATAAATGTCCACATGATGATAAGCCACTTCGTTGAACTATCGTTTGTGGATAGGTCGCTTCAGAAAAGAGCTACATAGCTGAGTGGGCCTTACCAGGTAAAAATATATATATATATACAACAAATCGCGATACAACATTAATTTCCCCAATTTGACGATTATCGCAATGTCGGTTTCCCATAACGCTGTACTTCTATTTCACGATTGTATTGCAGTGATTTTGTACTTTTCTGTACTTCCAGTACAACAACAAAAAAGAGATTCGTTAAAAAGAAATATTCACTGCGGATCACTCAATACGGGCCTGCCATAAGTATCGTAATCATTCGAGCTTTGAAAAAACTATCAGGCTTATTACACACGTGCAGTAATTTACTTTGTAAATAGTTAAACGATTAAACTGCCTATAAAAATGAGAACTGGACCCCAAAAATGCATCGCTTAGCAGATTATGTAAAAACTGTTAATCAGGAAACATTGTTAATGTAATTGTTGTCATAATTAGTTTTTTACCCTTCTATCTGGCAACAAAACTGACACCTTTTTACAAGGAGTCATGTTTGTATAGACCGCAATACCTGCAGTCATAATACAAACAAAAGACATAACTCTGATAATGTGCACTGTCCTTGAAGTTGACTGCAGGTATTGCAGGTCTATACAAACATGACTCCTTGTAAAAAGGTGTCAGTTTTGTTGCCAGATAGAAGGGTAAAAAACTAATTATCATATTTTTACTGGCAAATGAGGTTCCCATAGTGTAATTGTTGTCATCGCCCCATGGTATATAAAGTGCCGCCTCCAACTCTGTACAAATGCGGTACGATAGAAAACGTCGTCGTCGTACGATGGCCGTGGATCCGACATCGCAGGACATGTCCCGTCATACCGCGGAATTGCCGTATCGCAGCGACCCAAAGAAATCTCAACGTGAGTTCAAATCCCCCGGTTGTTGGGAAGTCAACGGTGGTCGCACCACGTAAAGACCGGTGCCCGTCAAGGGGAAACGTGGAATTGCCGCCCACTGGCCCAGCCAAAAGGCGACGCTCCACTCTTGCTTCGAGTGGAGGGGACCGTAAACGTGATGATCACAGGGTCAATATATTCACAACCGTCCACAAATATCTGATGAGCTAGGAAAGTCACACGTCACGATGGAAGGGTTCTTTCTCTCTCTCCGGGGCCAAAACTGTCGCAAGGCAATACTTGGCAAATGGATGACAATGATGTGACTGGTTAATTTACAGTTCGATGCAGATTTTGTAGGGCATTTGGCAGGGCACGGCGGACTCCTGCAGCATGCGTAAAATGGATTGACAGCATGCACGGTTTTACAGAGGGCTCACCTAAGTATGCTCAGTCTACCAGCAAAGTGCGGGCTGCAGAGACAAACATAGTGAACCTGACCACCAATATCGTGACCGCCAGCACCATTAACAAGGACAGCAAAAAAGCAACCATCATCACCACCATTATAGTCATCACCATCATCATCAATCATTTATAGCAACCTGTAGAAGGTACAACAACAACAAAAACGACAGCCGCCAATCACCACAAAGTGGCGGCGACGTCACCACGGTGCTTGTGCCAGGCAAGGTGCACTTTAGTGCACCAGACCCAGCCACAGCAGCAGATCACCCCCTACTGCCAAGGCCACGGCGGTCACCACCACATCCGACATCAGGTCAATCACCAGTGTGAGGCCCACCACCATCAAAGCTATCACCATCAGGTGTGCCACACACATATGCCATCACCAAGCGATCACCACAACCATCTACAGACCCATAATTCGCTTCAGAATAAAGTTGTATTGGGTTAGATCGAGTAAAGTAACACATTCCTGCGGAGGGAGCTGGTAGGAACGTTGGGTTGCTCGGTCAATGGCCAGGGTCAACGGCGGCGTGGTGTATTCCGTAAATATGCCCCGACTGTGAGGGCGGGCACAAGCCGGCATGAGTAGGTTAAACGTTGAGTTTTATAAGGGCACCACGGGGTGACCAGCCCCTCCCCACCCAGCCCCACCCCTTCCACCCCCCACCCAGCCCCACCCTCCCCACCCAGCCCCTCCCCACCCTCCCCTCCCCACCCAGCCCCTCCCCACCCTCCCCACCCAGCCCCTCCCCACCCTCACCTCTCCACCCAGCCTGACCCCTCCCATTTTTGGATGCACGACGGACGGACACAATAATCCCCTGTGGGCTGGTGGAACCAGGTGGTTCCTATCAGTCGTTAACCTGCCACCACCTGACACAGCCAAGTAATAATGTTTGCCACGTTAACGAAACATGCTGATTAGTTACTACGTCAACCCACCGGTGTGTTGTTATGAATAATATTGGTCACGAAAGTCTACGTGTCATAAATACCTTCTTTCGGGTTAGTCTGTGTAGGTGTAATGTAATTTTTTTTACAAAAACCCTCCACCACCCGACGACAGAGCCAATCATAGCAAGTTTTCACGTGGTTCTCCAGCAAACTGGAATGTTGCAAAGCTAAACTTTTACATACCTGCAGAATGATCTGAATCAAGATAAACTAATTTTACATCGTAATATCGGTCGTTAAAGCCTACGTATAAAATGAGTCAACGGAACCATTGCCATGAGATCCACCCCGCACAACCATCACCACCACCACCACCACCACCAACACCACCGCCATCAGTTCCACCACACAAACAAAGACAAAGATCCCACGTACAGCCCTAACAGACTGTGGGGGCAAGTACTGTTAGCAAGAACCTATTAAGGCTGGAACGGTACACGAGGGGGTGGGTGGCCAGCACCACGCCCCAGTGGCAATGTTTACAAACAGCGCAACAGGCTAAGTCGACCTAGGAGAGGCCCAGGCCAAGCACCGATTCAGATAATTGTCACGGGTATTGCTCGTGAGCGGAAATCGAACTCGAGTCACCGGGTTCGTAGTGTGGAGCGCTAACCGCTGCACTACTGCTACCCTCCACCACACACAGACACAATCACCACGGCCCACCCACAATTCCACCCAGGCCCACACCACCACCACCACCGTGACCACTGCCACCGCCACACGTCTTACTTGTGCACCGGCGCCGCCGGGAAGGTGAGCTTGCGCTTGGTGCCCGTGACGGAGGTGATGCGGTCGGGCGGCGGGCTCGGCGCCACGTGCCGCCCCGGCGACATCTTGCGCACCTCCCACGCCAGCGAAGTCGGCCTGGGAGAGACGGGCGCACGGCCAGGCAGCCTCGAGTGAACCCCCGTCATCGTCGAGAGGAGTTAACGAGAGACAAGAGAGAGATACGCATCCGTGGTGTAAGGGTCGGCACGCCGGACCTGCTATACAGGGGTCGGCAGCTCGACCTCCCGGCGAGGCGATTGAAACGAGGGGCAGATTTAGTAAATCCAATCCACCCCACTGCTGCTTAGCCTGCGAGCTTCTGACGAGACTCAATTCTATTGATAGGCAGGGTACTAAACTGTGATTGTAGAAGCGCCCGGCATGCAGGCGTACGTGGTGGACCTGCTGGAGGATGCGTCCGTTCGTGGTCATGGTGGGCACACACACTGGCACATTTTGGAGGGACGTCTGAACACTGACGGCTACCGACACAATTACATCACAAACAGAAACACGGTCGCACGGCGGCCGACGTCGACCACAATGCACCGCTGGGTTTGCCGAGTGATGGTAAAAATAATAACATTATTGTTGACGTACAGCTCTTTGCCCAGGGCTGGTTCAGTTATCGCTCAGTCAGTGATGTTAACCGCGTCTGAGAAATACAACTCAGGTTGCTGGTTTAGTAGCGCAGTACGCTAACCGCTGCGCCACCACTCCACCCAGTTTAGAGAGAGCATCAAATCGTTCATCAGTCACGCGTTTGATATTTGCGCCATTCCTATATCAGTACGGCTATCATGAAGGTGGGTGCTGTGTTTCGCAGATAAGCGTCGTCTACGGCAGTTCAGCATGTAATAATTTTCACACACAAACAAACGCGGCATAGCAATTTCCTTTTTTTAATATCTTTACACTGTTTGCAAACCCAAGGATTAAAAGAAAAATTATAATAATTTTGTCCACGCTTTCCTAAATATATATTTTTCCCTTTCCCCCATGCTATGCATTTTGTAGACGGCAAAGCATTAATTGGCAAGCCATGTTACTCAAACAGAGCTTCAATCAGAACCACTTAATAAAGCTAAATTGTGGCTGTTAGCCCGCCTGCTATAATGGCTCGCGACAAAATAGGCACATTAGCAACCGCTTGCAGGTCAACAAGCAAGCCCTTGGCTCACCACGTGCACACGATGAATAGAGTTGGCGAGTGGACGGGTGGGCGGGTGGGGCGTGCACGCGGGCGGGTGTGCGCGGGTGGGCCGGCCAGAGGAGCGTTAACCTCTTCATGGATCACTCTCAATCTCCAGGCTCAAGAAAGCCCCAACGGAGAGAAATCAAGCCGAACGGGGCGGCGACATTTTTAAGAAGCTCCGCCGAAAAATCTCCCGAGTGGTGGGCCCTGTACGGGAGAGGGACCACGCGGCCGGCGGCTGGAGAGCGAGAGAAAGAGAGAGCACGGATGAAGGAAGACGGCGACTTATCGAACGCTCGCCGTGTTTCCGATTTGTCACATTGACCCTTGTTTGCGTCGTGCGCCTCAGCGTTTTTTAGAATCTCTTGTTCGCCGCCCTGAAAGCTTGCTGGCCTGAAGTCCGCTGGCCAAGCCGTTTAATCCTGAGATTTACGTTTCTGCGCTCTCGAACAATTTGTGCGGTTACCGAGATTTCTGTTACGATCAACTCTGCGCTTCATTTGTTGCATTCTTGAACCTTTTGCACAAAACGACGCGTCGTCTGCTTCGCGACGAACGTCAAAGACCCCGTTACGTTATTCACAAGGGGAGACCGCTGCGTGCCGGCTTCATGGTCCAAATGTGTCAAATTTGAATGGCTTCAGCGCAAGTTACTCAAATGAAAACGTACGGAGTGACCATCGCCCCCGCTACTACGAATGCTTGGCAGGCATGAAAAATAAAAATTGGTTTTACCCTTTCTGGCAGTAAAACAGGAGGTGTGAAGATGTTCAAACACCAAACAGATAACTTTTGCAAGGAATCAACTCTGCATTAACCACACGTACTTGTGGTGACATGCAAAAAAAAACATGGCTCTGGTAATAAAAATAAAACATAATAAAACAATTCTCACGACGTTTCGGCCACAACGCAAGCAGCCGTCTTCAGGTGGAGAACAGACTCTGCCTTCTCGACAGACCTGTTCTCCACCTGAAGACGGCTGCTTGCGTTGTGGCCGAAACGTCGTGAGAATTATTTTATTATGTTTTATTTTTATTATTTAATTATTTCCCTTCTACGTGACTTTACCGAAAGAACCAAGAAGATGAATCCCTGCAGTCACGAAAGCTTTAAATCGAAATGGCTCTGGTAATATATGCATTGTCCTTGAGACTGATTGGCCTACACAGCAGAGACAGCCTTCTTGAAGGCCTAGTCTCACCACCGTCAGACCAGGCTCACAGTACAAAGCCAATGCTTCGCAGGTGCGTACTGGTAAAAATTGTCACGAGACTCGGTGAGGCTTTCCTGGATAAACGAGCATAATAATACAAATATTTAAACTAAAACTTAACTTAATTTGTTCCACTAAGACGATATTTACTTTTCACGACGGCTATGTATTTTGACACAGGCCTACCTTGTACGAGGCGTCAGTGTTGCTCTTTACTGGCCTTACATAAAGGAAGTACATTGCATTGTGGATAGTTTTAATTACGTTACAAATTTCCACGTTTTTATCATCTCCACCGTGGTCATCCTCCACCCATCCATCCACCAGTTTAATCCATTTGTTGCCATCCCTTCCAGCAAATTATCCTGCCCGCCCAATGCTGATGAGCTGTCCTTCCCAATGAATGCAACGTGTCCAACATGAGTTTGCTATTTCGTCATCAGTCTGTGAACCCTTTTTTCCCGTCTCTCGGTGTAATTCGAAGCACGCATCTTCTCCAAGCAACTCTGCGCACTTTTCGTCTCTCGTTATACGGAATAAAATACGCGAATCGGCAAATAAATTAGCACGCGAAACACAGCCGCGTGCGCTCAAGGTCCGAAGTATACTCGTGGCGTGTGCAAGATAAGGCTGACGGAAAACCCAACGACGACAACGGTATAGATGGCGATTGATGGAATGGCAATCACAGGACGCAAGGCTTGTAAAGTAATGAGAGGGAGATGGAATGACTGCGTCCATCAGGGCACGAGCAGCTGAGAGATGGGTGACGATCGCACAGCACCTCGCACAACACTGCCAAAAGTACCGCTCATCACATCGGCGGACAGAGAACAGATGATGGTAATGACGCTGATGATGACTATGATGATGCTGCTGCTGATGCACACCGATTAGGCTTATTTCACCAACAGATAGCGAACGCCTGACGGTTGAAGATGCTGGCGATGATAACGCCGACCGTTTCTTCACAACGTCACAAAGGAAAAGGGAGAATGTCGGTCGACTCGCTGGACGGAGCATCTGACCGGCGCGGGTGGACTTCCAGACAGGGCACACAAAGGGGACAAACGCTGCGAGCTCTTCAACGCACAAGACGGGCGGACAAGCAGAGAAAATAAACAATGCACGTAGACGAACGAAGGAACCGACCGCGGCTGAACAACAGAATGAATGAACGAAGGAAAAACACAAATAAATAAAAAGCCTGTCCAACCCCCTCCAGCACCGCCTCCCCTCCTCCATCTCCCTCTCACCCCCCCCTCCCCTTCCCCACCGGCCGCCATCCACTCCATTCATCCGCGCGACAATTAGGTAAGTGCGCGAGGTGCGGGAGGACCATTATGAGCGGTGCGGGTGCGAGCGCTCTCATTACGAGCGGGAGAGAGTGGTGCGGCAGTGGTGGTTTTAAGGGGGGTGTTGGTGAGGAGGGAGGGAGCGAGGGAGGAGGGAGGGAGCATTATGCCGATGCGCGGAGCCCGGTATTCACGGCGCCACAATGATTGTGACCGGTAGAGGCCACAGCTCCGATACACAATTTGGCGGCGTTGCACACGCGCACACACGCACACGCGCACACACGCACACACGCGCACACACGCACACACGCGCACACGCGCACACGCGCACACACGCACACGCGCACACACGCACACACGCACACACGCACACACGCGCACACGCGCACACACGCGCACACGCGCACACGCGCACACGCGCACACACGCACACACGCACACACGCACACACGCACACACGCACACACGCACACACACGCACACACGCACACACGCACACACACGCACACACGCGCACACACGCACACACGCACACACGCACACGCGCACACACGCACATACGCACACACGCGCACACGCGCACACACGCACACACGCACACACGCACACACGCGCGTACGCGAGTGCTCCTAACCCGAGTGCGACTCCTGCTCACCGCCAACATAAGTGACCAATTTTTCAATGGATTCTGGGCCCCCCCCCCCCTCCTCCTAGGTCACCTCGTCCTTAAATCAGTGCCTGGTGCAGTAGGTAAACATCAGCACTGCGGAGACAAAGGCGGCCGGGCTTTGTGTGCCGGCCACGCCACTCCCCCCATGTGCCGTGCTGGCCTTCGGAGGTGCTTGCTGCCAGCTCTGGCCCCGGCAACCTGTTAAGAAGCCATACACGGGGGCATCGTTGTGGCTGCGTGGGTCCGTGGGGAGGAGTGTTTAAGTGCACACATTAGTGGCCGTGCTTCTGTTGGGGATTAAGTAATTTTACATTTTCGTGGGTTTTTTTTTTCTCACCTCTCTCGCTGGAAATTACCGATGATGATGATGATGATAATAATCACGGGCAGAAGCTTTTATAGGTAACAAAAATAAAATCCACTCCCGGAGCTGCCACGGAAAATAAACAAAATGCATCAACCTCCGAAACTCCATCCTCCCCCCCCCAACCCTCGACGCAAGCCAACATTCGCATTAGCGGCGTGCAGGGCGCTGCGACACCAATCCAACACCACGACAATTAGTTTACTCAGCGAAGCATCGCGAGTCACCACATGGGCGTCACATCTTTGCTCAGCTATGAAAGCTTTGCCGGGTCTCGAGGCTCGCTTTGAAGGAGGATCTCCCGCTTGGTGCTGGTTGGGCTAATTCCTTCAGCGGAGCCTTGGCGCGCGCGTGGATGGGTGGGCAAAGCAACGCGGAGAAGTTCTCCGAAATCCTGAAGAAGTGTCAAGATGCCAAAGTCAACGATCCTCCCCTGACAGAGATGAGTCCTGGTCGTGTTGCTGTTCGGGATTTACTCTCGGTTGGAAAGTGCAACCCACCGCTGCGCATAAAACTAAAACAAATATCCCCCATATAGCTTCAACAGACTGTTGGGGCAAGTGCTGTTAGCAATGATTACACATCGCACCAGGTACTCATTTTAGGCTGAGTCGACCTAGGGGAGGTCCAGGACCGGTTAAAATAATCGTCACTGGTGTTGGCCGTGAATCGAACCCGGGGTCGCCAGGTAAGTAGCGCAGCACACTAACCGGTACACAAAAGACAAAGATCCCCCGTATAGCCTTAACAGACTGTAGGGGCAAGTGCTGTTAGCGAGCACCTATGAAGGCCGGAACGGTACACGAGGGGGTGAGTGGCCAGCACCCCGCCCGACCGCTTTTGTCTCCCTAGCGGCGATGTTTACACACCGCACCAGGTACTCATTTGAGGCTGAGTCGACCTAGGGGAGGTCCAGGACCGGCTCAGATAATCGTCACTAGTGTTTGCCGTGAGCGGGAATCGAACCCGGGTCGCCAGGTTCGTAGTGCAGCGCGCTAACCGCTACACTACCGCTCCCCACCGGTACACACGCACACACACGCGCACAACAACATTATCAACCGCCGTTCACCAGGTGGTGGTGACGGCACGCGCGGCCCCCCCCCCGTGCACACCTGTCCAGGACGTCCGTCTTCTCCAGCTTCTCTTGCAGGTGCAGCCAGTCGATGAGGGACTTGAAGTCTCGCACGTAGTTGTCCAGCATCATGAGTACTTCCTGTACGGGTGTAGAACACAGCAGCAAAAGCGTGGCTCATTGGTGAGAGGTCAATTTGACCAAGTCCGGTGATATATGTGGGCGTAAATATTTGCTCGACAATAAATACTAAATATGAGGTACACGGCACTGTCTGTGAAAAACAAAATGTTTTATCTCAGGTGACATCGATCGAGCAGGGTCGAACGACAGCTGCACCACAAAAGGCCCTCCCCTCGATGCCAAAATACTCGACGCGGCCTTCCTGTCCAACGACTTCTTTGACAATTTCAAGCGACGAATTACAGGGAGGGCGATAAAGAGAACAGACAAGGGGAACACGTGGACTAGAGAAACGTGCGCCCACCCCGACTCGCAAGAAAAACTACGCAGACTTGGGCGGGATGCGTCGCGGCCAGAAAGGGAGGAACGTCCGTGCGGTCGGGTCTAACGGCGGAGCGGCAGCCAGAGAAGGGAACGTTTCCGAGAGGACGTCCACCGCAGAAAACGGAGCGGGAAGATCAACTCGTGCACAGAGACCAGCAGGGACTTTTGCTGCGCGAGACCCCGCGAGGTCACAGAGGTCACAGAGGTCACCGTGCCAGCTCGGTGCCGACCCTTGACCCACTCCCGCGATTCCCACCTCTTCCCACTCACGGCCACGACCAGCCGCGAGACGCCGCCGCATTTTGTTAATTCGGACAAACGCACTCGTGACGGCACTTGTGAACGGGGTGGACGATGAACATAGATACAGTCCCACAAGTGAGGACACCAATTTTTTCCTACTTCTAATTGGAAACCCGACCGTGTCAATCGATAGTCCCCTTGCAAGCCACGTTCAACCGCTCGGGGATTCCGAGCGGCGTTGGGGCCGCGCGGAGGAGCACGCGACCTGGTGCTTGTAACGTGCACGTGTAGAGAGCCCTTTGGTCGATCCACTGCTGGATGAGAACCTCCCCCACGCCGTGCGGGTCGCGGGCACCGCCTGACCATGCTTCACCGCGCACGCTGGTCGGTACGGGATGGTGGTGGTGGATTGCGTAGACGTTGGGAGCGTAGTACAGTACAATAATGGATTTTTGTTGCACTGCCCTCTATGCACGGTAAACAGCGATCTTCTCTATTGATGGTCCAGCGATACATATTGTTGGTTCTTTCGGTAAAGTCACGTTGAAGGGAAATAATAAAATAATAAAAATATTAAACGATAAAATTCTCACGCCGTTTCGACTACAACACAAGCAAGCATCATCAGGTGTAAAATCCACAGCAAAAAAAAAAAGCTTTAAATAAAAATTTAGGTCCAGTGATAGTTGTGAAAATTCCACATTCTTATAAATGGCCCGGAATGCGCCCGATCTGCACCCAACGTAGTCACAACCCAAGCGGGTTTGAGCCTGGACAACGCTTGGATGGGTGACCACCTTGCACAGTGACCACATAACCAAGCAGACAATGCGTCTCCTTCATACACCCGTCCACGTAAAACATTGGCACGCGTCTTCCTCGCACGATCCATCAGCCGGCACACCCTTCTGGGAGTGCATCGTTTCAGCAGCATTCACTCAAGAGACGCAAACTCTGGATGGACTTTAGTCGATGCCGGTGAACTGCCGACCTCACAGGCAACGACCCCCTCTCTACCGTCCGTGGTAGGTTACCACAGGGCCGTGGTGGGCAGCAGAGGGCAACGTAGCAGCATCCACTGCTGCCCTTCCCTGTGCTCCAACACCTCTGTTCACTCGCCTTCACCCAACACACGACATCACTTGCCGTTGTAAAAACTGCACGAACGCGCGGAACGAGCGCGCGTATGTTGCGATCCGCACAAAGGTAAGTAACGTCAAGGCCACGCGCGTGACGAGGGAAGAGGCCTTGCCGATGAAAATCGATGCAAAAGGGCCGTGGGTTTCTTTTTGCAGACACCTGCAATGCGCAGTGTCGAAGCCGAGTTATTGATGGAGGGGGGGGGGGGAAAGGCGGGGGGAGGTGGGGAAAGGCGGGGGGGGGGAGTAGATCCTAGCAGACGGGGCAAAGTGTTGGCGAGGGGAGGCCCGGGGTGGTCGGAATGGGGTGGCACAACCCCCTTGGAGCCTGCGGCCTTGACCGGGTCTCGCCCATTGAATGACAGAGCGAGAGGGGGCTGTGCAAGCCCGGCTCAGCTTTCGGGCAAACGGGGGAAGCAGCCTAAGAGCGCTTGGTCACGCCACTGCCGCCAGAAGCGTCTCCGCAACAGAGAGCTCCCGCGAGCTCCTCTGGAAGGTATTTTGGCCGATTCTTGCAACACTTCCAAGAGGTGGCAGTACCCCAGAATTTGCTCCGACGCAAGCAACCTGCCGACCGACTTAACCCATTCACACTGCGTCGATGGGACAGAGGCGAGGGGATTTGAGAAACTTGACATTGCCGTATCGGGAGATGGAATCCAACTGTGAGTACGTACGTATGTTGAACTTCTTTCGCACAGTACGTAGCCAACCGTGCTAATCGGAGGTGCGTGGGAAGGACAACAAACTAAACACAAAAAATATAAAGAACTGTCGACATCTGGATTGCAAGTTCAGTGCCTTAACCGTTGCAGGGTGGCAGCATCCCTCTGCGTACAAACAGCACCGTAGCTCAGCACCACCGCTCGCCTGCAAAATCCAGCGATGCGGAGGTCAGGGTTGGTGGATGACACAAACGTTGTGAAACTCCGTTCCTGTGGGCATCGAAGATGGTGGCATACCCTGGCTGGCCGAGAGAAGGCGGTACAGCAAGTGGGCTAATCTCCATCTGGTTTTCATCCACACAGTGATAGAATGAAGACACGCATGGGTTTTCTCCAAGTGCCCCGGTTATCCTCCCTCGCGTATACACAGCTCCTACATTGGCTGAAAGGACCTTCAAATTAAAACCCATTTCAGTAGGGCCCACCTGAAAACGATGCCTTGGAGTCTTTGTGCGGCGTTCCTCCCCGTTTAAGGCCCAGCCTGCACCCGCGGTCCCTCCGCAGCGTCACTCCTGCCCTCGGGTCCCCCTCGCCTGCCCGGCGCTCACTTCAACCTCTCCCCCCGCCGCCACCGCCGTGGCGCCGGCAACGCCACCGCCGCCTGCTTTCCCGCCGGGAGACCACGGCAACCCACACCAACCTGCGCCGCTGCCAGCCGCAAAAACCGCATCCCTATCGGGTGTGTTCTTGAAATATCTCCATTCGCTCGATTATTTGTTTTGTTCGACCACCTTTTCTCGCGACCGGCGGCGGATGAGCAAACCAGAAGGGGAACCAAGGTGGCCCCCCGGTATCGGAGTTCAATAGACGAAGCCCCCCGCCCCCCCCCCCCCCACGCCGAACATCTGTTCCGACAAACTACGTCAATCTAGCCTTCCATCTTTCACGATCTTCAGCGTCTCTCTCACGGAGAGTCCCGTACCACTCTCACATTGTATCCCACCAACGATCCGTTTCCTTCCTCCTCCCTTCCCATCAACTAATATTTTGAAAATATTGAATCCCTGAACCAAATATTGATTTCCCTGGGGGTATAAATATTTGCTAAAAATATCGTCCCCTGAGAAACAAATGTTCAGGGAAACCAACATTCCTTGACACAGCAACGGAGAATGAACCCGGCAAGGGCTTGGCGAGACTACACAGAAACTGCGTGTGTGCGTCGCAGGTGGTATAGCTGCCGTAACAATGCATCGATCCACCGATTAACGTACGTTAATTAAGCTCATGCTAGATCCATAGAATCGCAATAATATATTTTAATCGATGAAGCAATTATTTTGTTGTGCATGTTTAGCCAGGAAAGCCTCGCCGAGGTCTTTATCAGGAGGGTCCTGTGCAAGTTGTCACAATAGGGCGCGATTATTGCCGCGTACATTCCAATTAAATCATTTGTGAGCCATTTATTTTTAGTTGCCAAAGATGGACAATGACACCGCCACACAACGGCCCACTCTTGCTCAATGACGTCACAGAATCTTTACCGTTCACTGTGAAGCAGAAGGAGCGTAGCATGTTTTACGGTGAATAAACGCGGCAGCATTGACCGGGACGTTCGCCGGATCTGAACCGCGAGCCTCCGCAAACGCGTCGCCGTCGCCGCCGCCAATCAGTGCGCCGTCACAGCCGACGCTTGTGCTCAAGGCGGCTCGCGGGACAGGCGGGCGCAGAGCGAGTCAAATTCGGCGTCCCACGTTTAGCACCCGTGAGACCACTGGCGGCGGCCCCCCCACTCGGCGTCGCAAGGGTTAAATAAAAAAAGCTTCCGCACGCCGAAGCGAATGGAAGAGGCAGACGAGAAGTGAGGCGGCACTCGTGAAGGAGGAAGAATAACAAAAAATGAAAGGGGGCAACAACAACAAAAAAGGGAACAAAATATATAATGTACGTTATTGTGAAGAAATAAATAAACAATAACAAAACATGAAAAGCCTTCTCTGGGCGCTTGATGCTTCTGTGTGTGCACGCATGAGTGTGTGCGTGCGCGCATGTTTGTGTGCGCGCGCGCGAGCGTAAAAATGTGCGTGTGTGTGTGTGTGCGAGTGAACGAGTACCGGAATGGAACAGTTGCAAAGTGGTGAGCGCACTCTGTCAAAAACCCGGCGACCCGAGTTCGCTTCCTGGTCACGGCTTACATCAGCGGCAAACGCACGAACCGGTCCTGCACCCTCCCCCCCCCCGGCTGACTTAGCCTCAAAATGAGTACCTGGGAGCCGCGTGCGATACATCAACAGTGAGAAGACAAAGGTGGCCGGGCGTGGTGCTGGTCCCTTCGTGCGCCGTGCCGGCCTTCACAGGTGCTCACAAACAGCACCGGCCCCGAACATCTTGTGTCGGATGCAAGGAGAGATTTTTGCCTTTGTCAATGCATGTGTAGTACATACACACGCACGCGCGTGTGTAAGTGTGCGTCTATGTCTTTGTCTATGTGTGCGGGTGTGTGTTTACGTGCGTGTGGGGAGCGGTGGTGAAGCGGTTAGCGCGCTGCCCTACGGACCTTACGACGCGGGTTCGATTCCCGCTCACG